ACAACATGGGGTGGGTTTCTGTCCCCTCCGAAACCCTCCTGGGGCGTCCCCTGTGTGTGTCTGGGGCCCCTTTTACAGGGGTCGGAGGTGCTGGTTTGTGCCAAGTCTTGCCGGCCTGGGCAGGGGGTGCTTGGAGGGCAGCCCTGCTAAGAGGCCTTGCGGGGGCAGTGCTGGGTGTGTGCACCCCCCAGGGCCCTCTGCCACGGCCTGGCCCAGGGCAGAGAAATATCCAGGCCCCCCAGCCCAGAGAGGCGCCCCAGGGCCTCCCCAGGGCCACAGTCGGGGGGCTCCGGCCTCCTCCCCTCAGCCTGACCCTCCCTGGCCTGGCAGCAGCTCCTTTGCACAGCCCCACCCAGCAAACGTGCTGCAAGTGCCCTCCAACAGGCCAGGCCCTCCCAGGGAGGAGCAGGCAGGGGAGGGCAAAGGGCTTGGCAAGCTGTGGGGCTGGGGGTGGTGCCCAGCCCGTGCTGGAAGGGGGCACGGGGGGATGCAGCCCCAAAAATCCTTGGATGCCCAGGACAGCACTGGGATACCCCCCAAACTGAGCCTGGAGCCCCCCACGGGCTTGGGGCTGTGCTGGGAGGTGGGGAAGGACCCGGGGCATACAAGAGCTGGGGGTGGGTGTGGGTGCTCTTTGTGCCCCTTCCATGGGGTTTGTCCCCAGATTTCAGCCTCAGGTGCATCAAGGACAAAAAGGTGCCCATGGGGGTCACCGGGCTGCTCACGGGGCTGCTCCTCCCCATCCCTGCCCTGGGGGTGAGTGGCTGAGGATGGAGGAGCCACCCCAGAGCCTCCTCCTGCACAGCCCCTGCAATGAGTCACCTGCACACAGATGTTAATGTACCCCACACTGCCTTTAAAAACAAAATACATCTTGATACTGGACTATGATGCAGGGACTGTGCCAAATAGAGGGCTGATGAGCAGAGCCACCAGGCCTAGTGCTGGGAAGGGACTGATTCAGACTTTATTCAGTAAAGGTGGAGTGGATTATATAAATAAGATATACAGGTTTTTTTTTTTTTTTTTTTTTTTACAGCTGACTCAATGCTGTGCATGATCATGAGGTGAAAATCTCATCCTTTAAAAGTGTGAGTTGTAATTTCATGGAGCTGGGTTGTTGCTTAAAAGTAAATTATATAGAAATTTTGAAATTTATTTTTTTATTTAAAAAAAAAAAGGAAAAAAGGTTTTATTTGATGATCTCCGAGGTCTCTTCCAACCCAGTTAACTCTGTGTTTCTGGCAGCTTTTATGGGGTGTTTCTGGCAGCTTTTTGGGTCTCGGCGCTGCTCCCACCCCACCTCAGAGGGGTGAGAAGGGCAGAGCTGGTGACACTGGAAACACAAACCTGGTTGTGTTTGGCTACAAAACTCACCCTGGGCTGGTTTGGCCTTTCTAGAGGCGACTTTGCAGCAGATCCCTGTGGATTTGTGCTCCTGGGAATGCTCCAACACCGCATGAAACATCTGCGATGGCACCGAGGCTTCTCTGGCCAAAAGGAGGATTCTAAGGAAGAAATCTCTTTGTCAGGATTCCAGCATGATCCCAGTTGCTCACAGTCACTCCCAGTCACTCCCAGTGTGGTCTCAGTTGCTCCCAGTTTATCCCAGTTGCACCAGCATGGTCCCAACTGCCCTCAGAATGCTCCCAGCCACTCCCAGTATGACCCCAGTCACCCTCACTGTGGGCCCAGTTGTCCCCAGCATGGGCCAAGCTGCTCCCAGTTGCCTCCAGCATAGATCCAGTCAATCCAAGTATGGTCCCAGTCTTCCCCCAGCAGGGTCCCAGTCAATCCCAGTTGCCCATTGTAGATCCAGTCACTCCCAGTTGCTCCCAGTTGCCCCTTGCATGGTCCAAGTCACTCCCAATGTGGTCCCAGTCACCCCCAGGATGGTTGCAGACTCTCCCAGTATATCCCAGTTGCCCTCAGCATGCTTGTAGTCATACCCAGTTACTTCCACTGCCCCAGGATGCTTCCAGTTCCCATCACTGTGATCCCAGTCACTCCCAGTCTATGCCAGCATGCACCCTGTCCCTCCCTGTCACTCCCAGTTACACCACACTTCCAGAAAGGCTCCATTGGCTCCCAGTTCCCCCTGCATAGTTCCAGTTACTCCCAGTATGATCCTGGGCACTGACAGTCACTCCTAGGATGGTTCCAGTATGGTCCTGATCATTCCCACTAGGATCCCAGTCACTCCCAATAGGACCCCAGTTGCCCCCAAGATGGTCCCAGTAGCTCCCAGCCCCCCCAGGATGGTTCCTTTCCCTCTCAGGGATTCCCAGTCTGAGTCCAGTATGGCCCCAGGCTCTGTCAGTCCCTGCCTGGACGATGCCATTTGCCCCCTGCATGGTCCCAGTTACTCCCAGTAGGATCCCAGTATGTGTCCAATTACCCTCAGTATCATCCCAGCAACTTCCAGACACTTCCAGTATGAAGCCAGTTTGATCCCAGTCATCCCCACTATGGTTGCAGTCCCTCCCACACACTCCCAGTAGAATTGCAGTCACTCCCAGGATGATCCCAGTATGAGCCCAGCAGGGGCCCAGCTGCTCCCACTATGATCCCAGTTGCCCCCAGCAGGGTTCCAGTTTCTCCCCTTCACCCCTACTATGGTTCCAGTCACTCCCACAATTATCCCCATCACTCCCAGCCACTCCCAGTATAGCCCAGTTGCCTCCAGTATGCTCCCAGTCAGTCCCAGTATGATCCCAGTCTTTCTTAGTAGGATCCAAGTTACCCCCTGCATGGTCCCAGTTGCTCCCAGTCACCCCACTGTAGTTCCAGTCCCTCCCAGTATGACTCCAGTATGATCCCAGTGACACCCTCTATGGTGGCAGTCACAGCCAGGATGAACCCAGGATGAACCCAGACATTCCCTGTCACTCCCAGTATAAAGCCATTTGACCTCAGCAGGGTCCAATTGCTCCCACTCACACCACTACAGTTCCAGTCCCTCCCAGTAGGATCCCTGTCACATCCAGTCTCTCTCAGTCGACCTCAGCCTGCTCCCAGTCAGTCCCAGTATGCTCCCAGTCAGTCTCAGTAGGATCCCAGTCACTCCTGGTCTCTCCCAGTATATCCCAGTTGCCCCCAGTGTGGCCCCACTCACTCCCAGTTCCTCCCAGTAGCTTCCAGCATGATTCCAGTTGCTCACAGCTACTCCCAGTCACCCCCAGTTGTGTCCTAATCGCTCCCAGTATGATCCCAGTCACCTCCAGCATGATCCCACTTGCTCCCCATATATCCCAGTTGAGCAACCATGGTCCAAACTGCCCTCAGAATGTTCCCAGTCACTCCCAGTATGACCCCAGCCACCTTCACTGTGGGCCCAGTTGCTCCCAGTATGATCCCAGTTGTGCTCAGCATGGTTCCAGTTGCTCCCAGTGGTATCCTACTAGCTCCCAGTTGCCCCTAGCATAGAACCAGCTGCTCCCAATATGATCCTAGTGTGATCACAGTTTGATTCCAGTAGGATCACAGTCACCTCCAGTATGATCCCAGTAACTTCCAGAAACTTCCAGTATGAAGCCAGTTTGATCCCACTCATCCCCAGTATGGCTGCAGTCCCTCCCACACACTCCCAGTATTATTGCAGTCACTCCCAGTAAGACCCCAGCAGGAACCCAGTAGGAGCCCAGGTGCTCCCACTATGATCCCAGTTGCCCCCAGCATGGTTCCAGTTTCTCCCTTCACCCCCATTATGCTTCCAGTCTCTCCCACAATGATCCCAGTCACTCCCAGCCACTCCGAGTATAGCCCAGTTGCCTCTCACATGCCCCCAGGTGCTCCCAATATGATCCCAGTTGTCCCAGTTCTGGTCCCGCTGGGTCCAGTCCAGCTCTGGGTGTATCCCGGTGTCCCCCCTGTCCCCTCACCCCGCTGTCACCCCCTTTTCTCTCCCCACAGAGCTCCTGAGCCGGTGGCAGTCACAGCCCCTCCCCGGGGCCTCGGGCCCAGCCTGGATCCCCCCCCCGTGTCCGTGAGGATTTTGGGGGGTCGTGTGTCCCCCCTCCCCTGCTGTCATTCTGCCTGCACCCAGCTGCTCCCAGTGATCCCAGCAAAGCTTCCCAGTTCTCCCCAGTCCCGGTTATTGGGGGGCACTGGGGGGGAACTGGAGGATCCCAAGGTGTGGAGCCGAGTTTGGGGGGTCAGAACCGGCCCTGAGATGGATCAGAACTGGGGACCCCCCTGTGTTCCCCCCGTGTCACCCCGCTCTGGGGGGGCTTTGGGAGGGCACCGGCCCCTCAATAGGCACCCAGCTCACCCCAAAAGGTGCTGGGATCTCCCAAATCCTCCCCACAGCCCCTCAAGGACCACAAACACATTCAAAGCCCACCCAGGACCCCACCCAACCCCTTTTCTGGGGGGGCTTCTCTGGGCACTGGTGGTGCTGGGAGCCCCCCCGGCTGCGGGCGAGGAGCTCTCGGGTGAGCGGGGGGTGGGAAGGGGGAGGTCGGTGGGAAAAGGGGGTCAGAAGGGATAAAAGGGGTGGTGGGTCCCCAAAATGAGTGGGAGAGGAGTGGGAACCCCCAAAAGCGGAGGAGGGGACACTGAGGCTTATGGGAAATGGGTGGGAGATGTAAAAAGAGTGGGGAAAGGGCAGGGTGGGACCCCCAAACTGAGCATGAGGGGGCTGGGGAGTGGGGGGATGATGTGGAAGGGGTGGGAGAGGAGGGAAAAATGTGGGGGTTGGGACACCCAGAGTGATCCTGGAGGGACTGTGGATTGAGGGGATCATATAAAAGTGGGAAGAACAGGGAGAAGGGTGGAAAAGGGGATTGGTCTGGCAGATCCAACAGTCCCATGGGGGTCTTTGGGCACACAGGGCTGGGAAAGGGGGGTGGCTCCCCTGAGCTCCCAAATTGCTGTTGGGTGTTGGGGGCTGCTGGATCCAATCTCAGCCTTGGGTTATGACAACAGTTTCAGTTTAGAGGAATTACAGAAGTGGGACTGAACCACTTTTGTCCCCCAGGTTTTAAGGATGGCAAATCCAGTCTATTGATAGAAATGAATTCTTTAGGGTTACAAATGATCAGACAAGACTTTCATCAGAATTATTTACTGCACAACAGAAACACTAAAACTACCATAAGTACAGGATAAGATAGGACAGTGCTCTACCCTAAAGCAATTGTTGAAGCAATTCTACTCAAGCTGGCACCAAAGCAAGAATTATTCATTAGAGATGGATGGAACTCCCCCAGACCAACGCTCGTGGGGAGATCTCTGCTCTCAACCTCCAGCAGTGACCTTGGGGGGTCCCCAGCCAAGGCAGGAATCTCCACACACCCCTCAAGAAGGGTTCTGTTGGCAGAACCTGCCCCTGGAAAATGGGGACTGACCCTTTCTGGTAGAAAGGGATGGACTGAGAGTCACTGGACTCCAGGGGTTGCCTCACCATCAGGGGGTCATTTGGGGTGGGAGCAGCAGCCGAAGCTCTTCCCGCAGTTGGGGCACTCGAGGGGCTTCTCTTACTGGTGGGTCCGTTGGTGTTTGGTCAAGGTAGAGCTGTGGCTGAAGCTCTTCCCACACTCCCCACACTTGTAGGGCCTCTCCCGGTGTGGATGCGCCGGTGGGTGACGAGGGTGGAGTTCTGGTTGAAGCCCTTCCCGCAGTCGGTGCAGCGGAAGGGCCTCTCATCTGTGTGTATCCGCTCATGCAGGAGGAGAGTTGAGCTGGTCTGAAACCTCTTCCCACATTGCAAGCACTTGTAGGGTCGTTCACTGGTGTGGATGAGCTGGTGGGTGCAGAGGTTGGAGCTGCTCTTGAAGCTCTTCCCACATTCCCCACATGTGTAGGGCCGTTCCCCAGTGTGGAGGCGCTGGTGTTGGAGCAGGTTGGAGCTGTCCCTGAAGCTCTTCCCACATTCCAAGCACTTGTAGGGCCTTTCTCCAGTGTGGATTCGACGCTGGTGTTTGATCACGCTGGAGCTGTGCCTAAAGCTCTTCCCACATTCCCCACACTCGTATGGCCGTTCCCCAGTGTGGATGTGCTGGTGGGTGAGGAGGGTGGAGCTCTGCCTGAAGCTCTTCCCACATTCCTGACAGGTGTAGGGCCGTTCCCCAGTGTGGATGAGCTGGTGGGTGAGGAGCTTGGAGCTCTGCCTGAAGCTCTTCCCACATTCCAAGCACCTGAAGGGCTTCTCCCTGCTGGAAGGCTGCTCAGGGACCACCAGCTCAGAGCTCTGGCTCAAGCTCCGGTCGCCTTCCCGGCACAGGATGGGTTTTTCCTCCTCAGAGCTCCCTGGGCTGGCTTTGCAGCCCCTCCTCCGGGGGCATCTCCAGGCCTTTTCCTCCCCGCTGCCTTCCTGTGCCAGGGAGCCCTTCAAAACGGCCTCTCCCACCAGGCTCTGCCGGGGGATTTGTCCTCCGTGCTCTCCGTCCTCAGCTCGGGGCCTGGGGCAGGAAGGAAGAAGGACAGGCGGGGAATTTGCCTCTGGCCCAGAGGGAAGCCCAAGGACATCCCCCCCAAATCTGGTCCCCACAGGCATTACAAGACAGGGCCAAAGGGGCACTGATTTCCTCCTCACCTGCCTGGGGGGCCCACGGCAGCTTCCTCGCAGCCTCCTCCTCCATCTGCCCAAGCTTTGGGAAGGACAAATCCTGCTGGGGGGAAACAAGGGCTGAGTGCATTGCCTTGGGGGTTCCTCCTGCCCAAGTCCATCTCTAGAACTCACTGGGCATCCTGGGACCATAAAAACCTCCAAAACACCAAAAGCCCCCCCCAAAAAACCCCTCCCCCAGAACACCAAGGTTCAGACCAAAAAAAACCCTTCCAGGAGTCCCCCCTCTCAAGTCTCTCCACTTTGGGGTTCTGGGGGTTCCTCCTACTTGGACTGCTGGGGGGGTCCCACGTGAATTGGGGGACTCCCCTCTCCAGAGTTCCTGCCCTCTCTGAGTTCCTGGGGGTCCTGGATTTTCCCCCCCTCCAGGGTCCCCCTGCTCAGGGATGTTGGGGGTTTTGGAGGCCCCAGGGGTCCCTTCTCCCCTGACTCTTTGCTTTGGGGTGCTGAGGGGTCTCAGGGGTCCCACCTCTCCGGGGTCTCCCCCTCTCCAGGCTGCTGTGGGTCCCGGGAATCCCCTTCTCCATGCTCTGGGGGTCTCAGCAGCCCCCACTGGCTGTTCCTCCTCCTCCTCTTCCTCCCCCTGACCTGGATCCCCTCTTGCCTGGTCAGTCCAGTTTTCCAGACCCCAGACCCCTCTTTCTTTGACTCCAGGACCCCCTGCCCCCACTTTCCTCACCATCCCACCTCTCCCAGTCCCTGCATCCCCCTGTTTCCTGGCTGGCCATCCCCTGGCACCTGAGCCCCAGCCCCCCTTTTCCTTGACTCCAGGACTCCCTGAAGCTCCTTCCCCATCCAACAGCTCTCCCAGTTTCTCCCTTCCCTTGACCCTGGGACCACCCTGACCCCCAAATCTCTGGGTCTCCCCAGTTCCCCACTCCTGGCTTATCCTGCCGGGTGGTCCTGGGGAGTCCTAGGGACCCCTGAACTCCCCATTCCTGTACACCAGATCCCCCCTGCACCCCCTTATGTGGGACCAGGACCCCCCTGCACCCCCTTTCCCGGTCATACCACCTCTCCCAGACTCCACACTCCGTTTTCCTTTACCTTGGGACTCCCTGGACCCCCAGTCCTGGGCATCAGGACCCCCCTGCACCTCATTCCAGCACTGGGACTCTCTTTCACCCCTTCCTCAGCTCCAGGACCCCCTGCAACAACCCCTTTCCCAGCCATCCTGCCTCTCCCAGACCCCAGGCACCCCCTCGATCCCCATTCCTGTCTTTCCCAGACTCCTGAATCCCCCTTTCTTTTTTGCTTATGTTGATGTTGTTTTTCAACACCGGGGGACCCCCTGAACCCCGTTTTCTGGACCCCACGAGCCTCCCATTCCCCGACACCGGCGACCCCCGTGCAGAGGCTCTCCCTGGACCCCCCATCCCACCTCTCCCGATCCCTGCCCTCCCCTTTCCTTGGCCCTGAGATTCCCCCCAACTCACCTTTCCCAGCACTGTGCCCCCCGGCAGCACCAAGATTTACCCCAAAACACCAAGATTCACCCCAAAAAAGCACTTCCAGGGTTCCCCTCTCTCCGATATCCCCACTCTGGGGAGCCGCGGCGGGGGTAGGGGGGAATTGGGGAACTCTGGGAGTGTTGGGGACAATCAAAGAGTTCCTGACACGTGGCCGGGGCCTTTGTTCGGCCCGCCGGGAATCGACAACAAACCTCAGTCCCGGGGGTCCCCCCGGCCGGGGATCAAGCGATGGGGATACGAAGGGACCCCAACAGAAACCCCTTTCCCGCTCTCCCACCTCCCCTCATTTCCTTCTCCCACCCTTTTCCCGTCGCCCACCCCTCCTCCCCCCCATCAACCCCGGCTTCCTCCCCTCCCGCCCTCGGTCGGTCTCTTTGGGGGTCCCACCCCCTCTCTCGCTCTCTTTGGGGGTCCCACCCCCCCCTTTCTCCTTCCCCTCTCCCTTTTTCCCATCCATTCCCCCCCAAACCCAAACTTACCGGGCGAGCTCCTCGCTCGTGGAAAGGAAAGGGGGAGGAGGAGCGGGAGGAGGGGCGGGAAGAAGGAAGAGGAGGAGGAAGAGAGGAGGAGGAGGAGGGAGGAGGAGGGAGAGGAGGAGCATCTTCCCCCAATCCCTCACGTTGCCGCGGGGAGGGGAGAGCTCCTCTCAGATATTTTGGGGAGGGGCCTCCGGGGTGGTTTCGGGGGTGGGGTGATGTTTGGAGCTCCGAAGCTGAGCCGCAAATGTCCCTCGGGAGGACCTTAGGGGACTCCTGGAGGTTTGGTTTTTTTACGGGGAGGGGGATCCCGGTGTGGGTTCCCGGCAGAGCCCCGGGGATTGGGCGTGGGGATGCGGGGACTCCCCGCGGTGGGGGTTGGTGTTCCGTGGTCAGCCCGGTCCCGGCAGGGGAGGGGAACGCGATGACAGCCTTTTTTAGGGACCCCGGAGTGGGGAAGCAGAGAGGGGTCACAGCAGAGCTGAGGGACCCCCCCGGCTGTCGGAGAGCGTGGAGAGGGTGAACAGAGAGGGGTGTGGGGGGACCGGGGATCCCCGGACCCTGAAACAGGGGGCTCTGAGAGGGTGATGGTGAAAAGGCACCAAAAAAAGGTCCAAAAGTTAACAAGGGTTCAGCTGGTAGAGCTTGTCCTGTTTGCTCTCCCTGCTCTGCTGGAAGAATAAATCAGGGAAATGAGACGTTGCAATGGGATACAGAAAGCCCAGAGCCAGGACTTTACAGGCTTGAAGGATTCAGGTCACTTAATGGGGGAGGTCTCTGAGCAATTCATCATTCCAAGGCTTTTTAAGCATCAAGGGGGAACCCCCCGGGATTCCCGGGATCTCCAGCAGCCCAGAAAAGGCAGAACCCCAGAGAGGGGGGACCCCCCAAAACACAGGAGACCTACCAGCAGACTGAACATGGCGAGTGACCCCCAGAACCCTCAAAAGATGGGGAGTTCCTTTGTTGCTCCAGATGTCCTTTGTGTTCTGTGAGGTTCCCAAACATTTTGGGGTTCCTTTTGTTCCTTGAGGTTCCCAAAATGCTTCGAGGTTCCTCTTATTCCACCAGGTTCCAAAATGCCAAAAAGAACTGGGTAGACCTGCAAACCAAAAAGAACCGGACAGACCCAAGGGCCAAAAAGAACCAGACGAACCTGAAGGCCAAAATGATCCGGAAAGACGTGAGGGCCATAAAGAAGCAGGTAGATCTGAGGGCCAAAAAGAACCAGACAGACCTGAGGACCAAAAACTACCAGGTAGACCTGAGGGCAAAAAAAGAACCGGGTAGACCTGAGGACCAAAAAGAACCAGACAAACCTGGTCTCTCTGTGATGTCACCCCAGCCTTGTGAAGTCACCAGTGTCCCCCGTGCTGTCACAGATGTCCCCGTTAATGTCACTGGTGTCTCTGTGGTGTCATCACTGTCCCCTGTGATGTCAACAATGTCCCTAATGATGTCCTGCTGTCTCTGTGATGTCACCACTGTGCTGAACTGTGGCACCTGGTCCCCGTCATGTCACCGATGCCAGTGATGTCCCTGTGAAGTCACAGCTGTCCTTTTGCTGTCAACAGTCCCCTGTGATGTCACTGATCCCCAGTGATGTCACTCATCTCCATGTGATGTCACCACTGTCCACTGTGATGTCAGCAATGACCCTGATGATGTCACTGGTGTCACTGTGATGTCATCCCTGTCATTATGAAGTCACTGAAATCCCCTGTGATGTCACCAATGTCCCTGTGACATTATGGCTTCCCATTATTGTCACCAGTCCCTTGTGATGTCACCAATGTCCCCAATGATGTCACTGGTGTCTCTGTGATGTCACCCCTGTCATGTGTCCATTCCCTGTGATGTCACACTCTTACATCGTCGCCAGTCCCCTGTGATGTCACTATTCCTCAATGGTGTAACCTCTGTTCCTGTGATGTCACCACTGTCCCCAGTGACATCAGCAATGTCCCCAATGATGTCACTTGTGTCTCTATAATGTCAACCCTGTGCTTGTGAAGTCACCAATGTCCCCATGACATCACAGCTGTCCCTTTATTGTCAGCAGTCCCTTGTGATGTTACCCACGTCCCTGTGATGGCACCACTGCTGTCCCTTTGTTGTCAACAGTCCCCTGTGACATTACTGGTCCTCAGTGATGTCACTGCTGTCTCTGTGATGTCACCACTGTCCCCAGCGATGGCACCATGTCCCTGCGATGTCACCAGACACCTTTGACATCATCCATGTCCCTGTGACATCGTGACTATCCCTTTGTTTTCACCAGTCCCCCGTGATGTCACTGATGTCACAGCTGTCTCTCTGATTTCATCCCTGTCTCTGTGCTGTCATTGATGTCCCTGTGACCTCACTGATGTCCCTTTGTTTTCACCATTCCCCTGTAATTTCACTGTTCCCCAGTGATTTCACCGATGTCCCTGTGATGTCCCCAGTGTCCCCTGTGATGTCGGCAATGTCCCAGATAATGTCACTGGTGTCTCTGTGATGTCACCCCTGTCCTTGTGAAGTCACTGATGTCCCCTGTGATGTCACCGATGTCCCTGTGACAACAGGGCTTAGCCTTTGTTCTCATTAGTCCCCTGTGATGTCACTGGTCCCCAGTGATATCACTGCAGTCCATCTTATGCCACCACTGATATCAACAGTGGCACCTTGTCCCTGTGAATTCTCCAGTATCTCTGTAATGTCTCCAGTCCTTTGTGATGTCACCCCTGTCCTTGTGAAGTCACCTACGTCCCATGTGATGTCACCGATGTCCCTGTGACATCATGACTGTCCCTTTGTTGTCACCTGTCCCCTGTGATGTCACTGGTCCTTAATGATGTCACCAATGTCCCTATGATTCCACCACTGTGCCCAGCGATGGCATCCTATCCCTTTGATGTCACCAGACCCCTGTGATTTCACTGATGTCCCTCTAACATCACGACTGTCCCTTTCTTGTGACCAGTCCCCTATGATGTCACTGACCCCAATGATATCACTCATGTCCCCCTGATGTCACACTGTCCCCAGTGGTGACACCGAAGTCCCTGTGATGTCACCGAAGTCCCTGTGACATCATGGCCTTCACTTTCTTGTCACCTGTCTGCTGTGATGTCACTGGTCCCCAGTAATGTCACTGATGTCCCTGTGATGTCACTGCTCTCCATGTGATGCCACAACTGTCCCCAGTGGTGGCACCATGTCCCCATGATGTCACCGATATACTTGTGATGTCACCAGACCCCTCTGATGTCACCAGTGACACCAGTGATATCACTGGTCTCTCTGTGATGTCACTGATATCCTTGTGAAGTCACCAATGTCTCTGTGATATCACTACTCTCCCTGTGATGTCACAACTGTCCTCAGCGGTGGCACCATGTCCCCATGATCTCACTGATGTCCCTGTGATGTCACCACTGTCCCCTGTGATGTCACTAATGTCCCTGAGGATGTCACTACTGTCTCTGTAATGTCACCCTTGTCCTTGTGAAGTCATCAATGTCCCCAAGGATGTCACCGATGTCACTGTGATATCACAGCTATCCCTTTGTTATCACCATTCCCCTGTGAGGTCACTAGTCCCCAGTGATGTCAGGGATGTCCCTGTCATGTCACCAGTGTCACCAATGACATCACTGGTGTCTCTGTGATGTCACCCCTGGCCTTGTGCAGTCACCGATGTCCCCAGTGATGTCACTGATGTCCTTGGGAGATCACGGCTACCCCTTTGTTTTCACCAGTCTTCTATGATGTCACTGGTCTGCAATGATGTCACTGCTGTCCCAGTAATGTCACCACTCTCTCCTGTGATGTCACCAATGTCCCCTATGATATCACTGGTGTCTCTGTGTTGTTATCCAGGTCCCCTGTGATGTCACTGATGTCCCTGTGAAATCACGGCTTTCCATTTGTTGGCAACAGTTGCCTATGATTTCACAGGTTCCTCTGTGATGTCACCACTGTCCCCAGTGATATCACAGGTGTCTCTGTGTTGTCACCGATGTCCCCTGTCATGTCACAGATGTCCCTGTGACATCACAGTTTCCCATTGCTGTAAGCAGTCCCCTGTGACGTCACTGGTCTCCAATGATGTCAGTGCTGTCCCGGTGATATCACCACTGTCCCCAGCAGTGCCACCATGTCCCTGTGATGTCACCAAACCCCTCTGATGGTACCGATATCCCTGTGTCATCACTGCTGTCCCTCTGTTGTCACTCTGATGTCACTGTTCCTTGCTGTCTCTGTGATTTTGCCACTGTCCCCTGTGATGTCACCAATGTCCCCGATGACGTCACTTGTATCTCTGTGATGTCACCAATAGTCCTGTGATATCATAACTGTCCCTTTGTTGTCAACAATCCCCTGTGAGGTCACTGGCCTCCTGTGATGTCACCACTATCCCCTGTGATGCCACCAGTGTCACCGATAATGTCACTGGTAGCTCTGTGATGTCACACCTGTCTTTGTGAAGTCACTGATGACCCCAGTGATGTCACCCATGTCCCTGTGATGTCACCAGTGTCACCGATAATGTGACTGGTGTCTCTGTGATGTCACCCCGGACTTGTGAAATCAGTGATGTTGGCTGTGATTTCACAGATGACCTCACTGATGTCACTGGTGTGTCTGTGATGTCATCCCTGTCCGCTGTGATGTCAACAATGTCCCCAGTGATGTCCTACTGTCTCTGTGATGTCAATACTGTGTTGAACCGTGGCACCATGTCTCTGTCATGTCACTGATGGCAGTGATGTCCCTGTGACATCACATCTGTAATTTTGTTGTCAACAGTCCCCTGTGACGTCACTGGTCCCCAGTGATGTCACTGCTGTCTCTGTGACGTCACCACTGTTCCCTGTGATGCCAGCGGTGTCACTGATAATGTCACTGGTGTCTCTGTGAGGCCACACCTGGCCTTGTGATGTTACAGATGTCCCCTGTCATGTCACAGATGTCCCTGTGACATCACAGCTGTCGCTTTGTTTTCAGCAGTCCCCTGTGATGTCATTCATCCCCAGTGGTGGCACCACGTCCCTGTGATGTCACCAGATGCCTTTGTCTTTATTGATGTCCCGATGTCCCTGTGACAACAGGGCTTAGCCTTTGTTCTCATTAGTCCCCTGTGATGTCACTGGTCCCCAATGATATCACTGCAGTCCCTCTTATGCCACCACTGATATCAGCAGTGGCACCTTGTCCCTGTGATTTCTCCAATGTCCCTGTAATGTCACCAGTCCTTTGTGATGTCACCAGTCCCCTCTGATGTCACTGTTGGCCCTTGTGATGTCAGCAATATCCCCGATTGCATAAATGGTGTCTCTGCGATGTCACCCCTGTACTTGTAAAGTCACCTATGTCACATGTGATGTCACCGATGTCCCTGTGACATCATGGTTGTCCCTTTGTTGTCAACAGTCCCCTGTGATGTCACTGGTCCCCAGTGATGTTACTTCTGTCTCTGTGATGTCACCACTGTCCCCAGCGGTGGCACCATGTCCCCATGATGTCACCAAATGCTCTGTGATGTCATCAGATACTTTGATGTCCCTGTGACATCGCAGCTGTCCCTTTCTTGTCACCACACCCCTGACACATCACTGGTTACCAGTGATATCATCAATGTCCGTGTGATGTCACAACTGTGCCCTGTGGTGTCAAAAATGCCCCAGTGATGTCACTGCTGTCTCTGTAATGTCACCCTTGTCCTTGTGAAGTCACCAATGTCCCTAGTGCTGTCACCGATGTCCCTGTGATGTCACCAGTGTCACTGATGATGTCACTGGTGTCTCTGTGATGTCACCACTCTCCCCAGTGGTGACTCCATGTCCCCTGATGTCACTGATTTCCCTGTGACATCTGGAATTCCCTTTTTTTAACCATCCCCCTGTGATGTCACTGGTCCAAAATGATGTCATTGATGTCCCTGTGGTGTCACCACTGTCCCTGATGATATCAACCCTCTCTCTGTGAATTTACCGATGTCCCAGTGACATCACAGCTCTTCCTTTGTTGTCAGTTGTCGCAGCCTTGTCCGCTGGGAAGGGAGCAGACCAGCCGCGGGGGGTTCTTGCAGGCTGCTTTGTGAGGTGTTGGAGTGCGCAGCAGCAAGGGCTTCCCGGTTAGGTTCGCACGCACTGTGTCCCGCAAGGAATACACAGACACGATGTGAACACCGAGGACGCCAAAGGCTAATCCGTTTATTGAACAAAATGGAGGGGTTTTTATACTCCCCGAGGGAGAAAACTCTGGAAAAGGGGAGGTAACCAGGCGGAGTATGCAAATC